CTAAAAAACAAAATAATAAATAAATGACCTATATATGTAAACAGGGTGTTTTTATTCTAAGTATGTAAACTCTGCGAAAAATTCTATTTTCCAACGAAACAAAAATTTTTACAGCAAGGATCTACCAACAATATTAATTATTATATAGGGTGCACCAAAAATCTCTATTCACAAAATCGATTCACAAAAACATTATCTGTAAAATCGGTTAGTAACAGTTTTTGATCCATTAAAAAATTTTTACTTAATAATTATTAAGAGATTTTTGGAACAGTGGTGAACTATAACAACAAAAATTTATTTTATATTATTTTAATTAATTGAATTTTTGGCTGTTTCGAGTATTGCCAAATACCCATCATTAGTGGTCTTGGAAATAATTCTTGTATTTAATTATTCGTAAATAATTATTTGAGACCCATTCACCAGTTCAAAAATTTTGTATTAGCAATGTGTCATTTTTTTCCTATATACCTCTTAAAGTTACTATTATTAATATATATCGCTTAAAATTAACTTTTACATACATAGTATCTGATAGTTTAAAGAAAACACAAGTGCATATGAGTAACAAAATCGTTGTTCAGTTATTGAGGTTACTGAGTTTTTGAACATTTATTGATATATAAAAAGTGTCATAATTCTATATTTCGGTTGAAATAATATTGAAAATAAATTTGCATCAACTTTAGATTTTTTCATTTCTTGGACCAAAAAATTACATCTTGAAAGTATTTCATTTTGCAGAAATAATCATTCATATAGAGAATATCTTTTAATAGCATAAATACAGATTACGATTTCTTGGTCCCAGACACGAATCTAATTGAACTTTAGAGTTGAGGTTCTTGGACCAAGAAATTACAATCTAATTGAACTTTAGAGTTGAGGTTCTTGGACCAAGAAATTACATCTTGAATGTATTTCATTATGCACAAATAATCATTCATATAGAGAATTCTTTTAATAGCATAAACACAGATTATGATTTGTTGGTCCCAGACACGATTCTAATTGAATTTTAGAGTTGAGATTCTTTGACCAAGGAATTACATCCTGAAAGTATTTCATTTTGTAGAAATAATTATTCATATAAAGAATATTAAAATATTTGTTTAATATCATTAACACAGATTATGATTCCTTGGTCCTAGACAGAAATCTAATTGAACATTAGAGTTGAGGTTTTGGAAGCGTTGAGACCAAAATATGTAAGAGTTCAATGGTTACGATAAATCCATGTTTTTCGTTGACTTCTGTAACATTAATAAATAAAAACGCATTAACGTTATATTTGAGGCTTAATTTTGTAAAAGTTTTTCCATAAATATTAGGAGATGCATTAGCTTAATTGGGACTTATTTATGCAAGAAAAAATTCATTATAAAGTAGGATTTTTATTAACTATTATTATTATTATTATTGTGAGGGGTCACTGCGACTGTCGAATCTATTGTGTCCCCTTTTGGGTTTAGAGTAACTTTATAGGACCCTGTTAGGATTCCTGTGATGATTCTAAGTTCTTCTTTTAATAGGTTTATACAATCCCGGTATCTTTTATTATTATAGGTACCAATAAGTGATTCGGATTACGTTAATTCTGGTATATTATCCCAGTAATTCTTTTTATTCTGATTCTTCTTTATTTTTATGAGTGGCTTTTATTAACTATGGTAGATATTATTCTAATTAGAAAAGCTTATTTGACATTTTCTTATAGCGCATGGAATGAAGTATTGTCTTTATATTAGAAGTACAATGGTAATAGCGTTTACAGATAGTTACTGCATAATTTAAAAAACCACTCACAACCCTATACTTATAATTGACAAAATTTCCAGTTATTTTAGTTAAACATTGTTTTATTTTGAATTTAATTATAAAATAAAATTTTTCACTTATAAACAGCGGCGTTCATAAAATTTCTATTCATAATTAAATTTCAATTTATTTTCAAGATATTTATTAGAAGTTATGGAAGAAAAAATATAAAAAATATATGATTTATTATTCGTATGTTTACAAAAGTATATAAAAAAATAGAAATAAAAATAGGCATACAAAAATAAAAATAGAATAAAAATAATATAATAATAGAAGTATTGGTACTTGTATTGGAACTACCAATAGTATCAAAATATATAGTATTGGTATTGAATTATTAAAAATGCCCAATAAAATTAAAATGTATAATTATGGATAAACAAATAAAAAATGCACATATTATTTAAAATATTTTAATAAAACATTGTTTTACTTTTAAATCAAATACAAATGTACTTCATTTAAAAATATAATATGATATATAAAAAAATAGATCATTGAAGTGTTTGATCTTTTATAATTTTATTTTTATAATTTTATAATTCTATTTACATTTAATATTTGTGAAAAATGGGTTCGCTATATATATGGAAGTTTACTTCCTTCTTTATAGAGAAAATAACACAATAGATATATATATGTTCGTCGAAACGCCTCTGCATACCAATATTGTCAAGCTGAAAATAACAATTATTTAGAAAAGTTATTTATTAAAAATAATTTAATAATTATAATTTCCATATTTAAACTATCAGACATGATAATCAGCACGAATATCTTCCGATTACGTGTATGTCTTTAAATTGTAAAATAAGATTTTTGAGATTTTTAAAAAAATCAACCATATACTTTTAAACGTGAAATGAATAATTATAATAATTATTTAATGAATAATTATTTTATAAACTATTTACAGTTTGAACTTTGAGAGTGAAAAAATAAAACACACCACAGTAATAATATCATTTACTTGCTTTTAAAATAAATTAAACAATAATTGATCCATTCTTTTAAAAAGGGAATCCATGTTAAGATACATAACTTCGATGTATGAGGAATCAGCTTCTGCTTTTAAACATCCAATTGAAGTGCTACCTTTACCTGGTACTTTCCAAGATTTGAAATCATTTTAAGCTTCTAGTAATTAAAATTATATAAAAAACTGTAATCTCTTATAACAAAGTATGACATGATAATAAACTGTTAAAAAGTTCTTAACTTTCTACCTTGAGCAGCCAGTAGGTTATGTACTGTAATTTAAGTTCCAGTTCTATTTTAGATCTTCGTATATACACAGCGGGCTGTCATTTTTGTATTTTCAAACCTTAACTGATTTTTAACCCTAAAAAGAATGAAAATTTGAGCTTCGTTTTTTAATCTCTAATTGGTAAAAGTTTCAAATACCCAAATCTTGCTTATTTGTATCCTCACTTCTCAAAAGCTCCCTCATATACTTGATTTGTATATATATTTTTCAAATCAATCTCCATTAAAAAAAGAAGACTGTTCAAATTGTTTTTCAAATTCATACAAATTTTAAACACTTATTATTGTCATAGTACAGACCTATTCTCTAAAAGTTAACTACACTACTGTTCTAAAATTCTAATTTCAAGAGATTGAAATCTAAATGTCCGTATTTTGTCTCGTCATTAAATTTAAAGTTTGTGGATCTTTGGGTGTATATATTCGTAACAGTTTTTAAACAATTTCTACCGCTCAGAATGAATCTTACGTTATCATTTCGCTCTCTGAGTGAAGTAAAGCTGAGAACCTGTAATGTATCTATATCTAATATGCATTGACAAGAATTTATAATATATCACATTCGGTTCATATATTTCCAAGGGATTTTAAATCAGCTTAGCCTTTATGGAAGAAAATCTAACCTCTTCAACACGTTTCTAGCACAAGTAAAACGGTGAAGCTATGATGCAGCTACTATATATCTAATATGTATATAAATTTATATTTATAATTTAGTTATTTATAAGTAATATTCGAAAAATCTGTTCTTAATAATAACATTTTGCGTAGAACTTGTTAAGCTTTACAGTTTTTTTGTTTAAAATTAATAACTCATAGATTATTGCATTATATTTGAAGTCATTAACTAGTTTTTATATAATATATAGCATTTCATTTCTCTTCTCTTAGCATTTCATGCTCTTCTTCTTTATGTAGTTTGTTATTACTCATAGTTTAAGATCGAACCGTAGACGTTTGCCTGGGTCTACGGTTTGCTTCTTCTAGTCACAGTTCTATATTAATCCATAAAACTAATTAATTACTTTGTAATTAATTAACTTTTTAATTAATTAGTAATAGAATTTTATTTTTTGTGATTTAGTAATGTTTATTTTAATATAAAAAATTAAATAATTTTTTTTATTATTACTTATCGTTAACAAGTCCTATGAACATCATCTTAAAGCTCTATTTTCAAAATAAATTTAATTTTTACTGGTTTCAGATTATTATACTTAAATAGGTCACCACATAAAATTTAATTAAATGTTGAAAGAGAAAAGGGTACTTTTTTCCTAAAGGCAATAATTAACGCCTGATAAAGATCAGATATAAGCAATCATATAACTTTTTTTGTATTTAATAACTATATTGTTTTTTTTTGTAATCTGTTTCCAAGTCAAGTGAGGAAAGGTCAAAAATCAAAATTTTTTTTCTATTAAAAATAATTAAAATTAATTGTCATATTTTATTATTATTAAATATATTATATGATAATAAACATAAGTCACACATTCACAACAATAAATCAGAATAATCTTTTCAATATTACAAAATGCGTTACTCATGCAAAACTTTTCTTCAATACGAAAACTATTTCGCAAATCCCACCGATTGATCAGTCGATCTACAAACAAATTAAACCTTGACTGTCCAGTCGGACTGAAAGCGCAATCAAAATATGTTTAACTCTATCAGCTAGCAATACACTTCCAAGCAGCTCAGTTGCATGGCGTTAAGGGAGTCGCATTTTTAATAAATTTAATTAACTACAAAGTATTCGAAAATGGTTTATGTCTTGAATCCTGAAAGAGTGCCACTCTTAACAGGATATCTAAAGTATAACTTTAATTGTAAATAATAAAGTTAAAAATTATTTAATTTCTAGTGACTTCTTCAATTTATATTTCTATTTTGTTTACTTTCAGCAAATGCAATTGGTGTCCGTCACCTACAGGCGTTGCTGATGTTCCTGGGTATAGTTTTCGGTTATTTTCTGCGCGTTAATATGTCTGCTGCGATTGTGCCAATGACACAGCCGACGGCTGGTGCACCATACTACGACTGGGACCCTTCAACAAAATCGCTCATTCTGAGTAGTTTCTTCTGGGGCTATGTTGTCGCGCAATTACCATCAGGACTATTAGCAAAACGTTTCGGTGCTAAAATAGTGCTAGCCATTGCTACTGGTATTGCAGCTATTATCACAATATTTCATCCTTTAGCAGTCAACAATGGTGATTGGCAGCTTTTGTGTACTTTGCGTGTGTTTGTAGGTCTGACACAGGGCGTCGTCTATCCTTGTCTACATACTTTGCTTGCAAAATGGGCGCCACGTACAGAGCGTGGTTTTCTAACTACATCAGTATATTCGGGTGCACAATTCGGTACAGCTATTATATTAGCGACCAGTGGTGTTATATTTGATTCGGAAGCATTAGGTTGGCCAGGTATCTTTTATATATCCGGTGGCATAGCTTTAGCCTGGTCAGTGTTGTTTTTATATTTTGGTGCTGATACACCGGCAGCATCCAAATCTATCAGTATAGCGGAAAGAGAATATATTGAGAGTCTTACTGGCAGTGGTACAAATAGTCAAGTAAGTCCAATTATGCCCAAATAAAAACAAAAGGTCTTTTTTAAGTAAAATATAAAATTTTTTCAGGTCTTAGCTGTGCCATGGAAATCCTTATTTACTTCTCTGCCGTTCTATGGTCTAATAGCCGCACATTGTGGTTTCACTTGGGGATTCTATACATTGCTCACTGAAATGCCTACCTATATGAGCAGTGTGCTACATTTGGATGTTAAAGCCAATGCGCTACTTTCAGCGTTACCATATTTTGTTATGTGGGTGTTATGTTTGATTGTCAGCCCCACATCAGATTGGTTAATAAATCGGAATATATTAAATATTACTGTAGCACGAAAATTGTTTAACACTATCGGCCAATGGGTGCCTATGTTGTGTCTAATAGGTGTAGCTTACATGACGGAAGAAGAAAAAACTCTTGCCATTGCTTTACTAACAATAGGTGTCGGCTTTAATGCTGCTTCATTTTGTGGCTATTTAGTTAATCACATGGATCTTTCACCAAATTTTGCTGGTCCTATGATGGGCGTGACAAATGGATTTTCAAATTTAATGTCGATTTGTGCACCTTTAGTTGTGGGTGCTATTGTTGAAAATGAGGTTTGTTTATCAAAAAAACAATTTAAATAAAATGGAGTATGTGTAAATAATTACCTTATACTATCTTTACAGGAGGATCCTAATGAATGGCGTATTGTGTTCTTTATCACAGCAGGTGTATATTTACTATGTAATTCTCTCTTCCTTATATTTGGTAAGGCAACAGTACAGCCCTGGAATGATCAAACTGTGACAAGTAGCACAAGGTCATTACAAAAAAAATCAGATGAAGAGTTAGATAATACTCCTACATCGTCAGCTTGGACAATTGATTCAAAGGTTGCTTGAGAGTATTACTAACGATTTTCAATGTGTGATATGTAGAATAAGATAATTTTAAGAAAAAAAATAAATATATTTGTTATTAGTGTTATAGTTAAGCTAAGCAAAATTTTATAAGCTACTAATTAAGTATGGAAATTAATATTTTAATAAAGACCCATGCCCCATAAGCTGTAAGACTAACAAACTATGACGTTTTGATTTTCATATTAAATTTGAATATTTTAAAAACATTTCTATTTGGTTTTATTGAGTTAAATTTAAATGTTTATTATTTTTTTAGTTAAACTTAAATGTTTATTATTTTCACAGTTAATTGACATTCACTCAATTGTTCCAAATCATCCTTCAAAGTGACAGAGCATGTTAAGAAGTAGCGGAATTTTTTTCCATAGTGTTTGAACTTCAAAACTGATAAGACGATGTCTGCCTAAGTTTTATTTAATGACAGTTGATTTCTTAATCTATATGAGAAAATTTTATTTTATTGATTTAAAAAATGAATTTTACAATATAATGCAATGGTGCATGAATATTACCCAGCAGGAAATTCTTACCTAGAAGATATGACAATACGCTCAAGTTGAATGGTTCGGTTAAAAACTTCTAAGGAACTTCTAGTAATAAAACTGGACTATGAATAAATTTATGTTATCTAAAATAAAAAGTTCCTGTCAAATCATTTATATATTGTATTAAATGTAAACGTATATATAGACTGGAAACCAATCTAACACTTCTAAAGAAATAAGAACAAAATGAACAAAAGTCAAAAATGTTTATATTTTCCAGAAGGTTTATCATTCCCAAAAAGTAAAGATGTGTGACTTTTACTACTTCAAAATTTGGAAACAGAACAGAAAAGTTTATAACACTATATCTATTAGAGTTTATGCAAATATTAACTGATCGACTTGGCACTTTCCTCGAGAACAAATTAGAAATAGTCACATATATCAATACTAAAAGCTTTAGAATAAATTTAAGTTTGGTTTTTGTCCAAAAAGTGCAATAGATGATGTATGTATGTAATGATTTTGGATGTTCGTTGTCCAAAAAAATTAAAATAGTTAAATATATGGACGGTTGGTTGACAGATATCATTCCGTTTCTTAAATTCAAATTTTTCGTTGTTTTAATCTTTGTTTGAAATCCCTTTAAATAAAGTAGGTCCACTCAGTTGAGTTTATAAAGAAATCTTTTATTCTTACTGATGAATTGACAGATTATTAAGAAAGTACTTCCCAAAAAATCTCTGTACCTTCTGAGAAAGTATGACTTTATCTTTTGTTATCCAACTTTTAGAATAAGTGTCGAACAGAAACCGCAGTTTCTCTGTGTGAATTACCATACACCAGCAGCCTAAAAGAAAGTTCAAGGACGTGGTTTTTCTATATGTCGACCGAAATGTTTCACATGTTCTGAGTGACTTCAACCTTTTATTAGCAAGCCGCCAAAGTGAAGCTAGATGCCTTTCTTAACGCTCTTCTAGAGATAACCACATATTCTGAGAGACTTTCGCCTTTTATTAGCTACTCGCAAAAGTGAAGCAAAATGTCTTTTCTAACAGTCCACTAGATACAACTATTAAACCGCCAAAGCCGGTTAAACTATATGCTATTTGCTATTTGTTGCGATAATCAGTGGATATCTATATGGTAAATAATATATATTTAAATAAAAGAATTACAAATACGAATGCAGGGGTTAGGATAAGTGTAACTGTTAGTCATAGAATTCCCTATACCAGTAGTTACATGTTTGTTTTGATGTTCACTTACTTTAATTTAATTGTAAAATACTTAAAGATTTTAAATGTCGCTTGGCTGTCAATGAAAATGGCTTACATCTATTCTCGTTGCGGTTTGTTATTCACCGACATCTGCCTCTAATCGCTAAGGAAATTGACATAACTCTATCTAAAAATGGGATTATGAGAAATTCAATATGTTGTTGTTGTTGTTGTTGTTGAGGTTTGAGTTAGTGATATTGCGCACTTTTACTCTTTTGAGGCTGGGGGGGCTTATCCTGCCCCACACAAAAATCTTTGAAAGATTGCTCTTTGGAAGTAACAATATTATTATCATTAATAATCATATTTCAGAAGAACTACATATAAATTAGAATCAGTCTTTAAATATCATATATATAAATGATTACTTCCAATACTTACAAATGAAACTATAAATAACAATTAATTTAGGTCATTTAAATTTTTTGGGACCTTTCTGCTCTTACTCAACTCTACTCTAATATATACTATTAAAAGTTAAAGTTTATTTTCATATAATATTTTATATACTTGTCATTTATTAAATGTGTTGAATATTGTAATAGCACATAATCTTATTAATACTACTTGATACTTTCAAATGTTGATAGAGATAATAATCATCAGTATGATTAGAAAATATCCTCTACTTATGGTATATTAATTTCTTTGGACCTGCTAATACTTTATATATACTCGGTTAAACTTCGGTGTTTTTTACTTAAGATAAAGTGCTTTTATTTAAGTTATAATAATTTATATATGTAATGAATATATTTATTATATTAACCTTAATTTATAAATAAATAGAAAAAGGTACAAATTTACGTATAAGCAAAGAAATTAAAATAAAATGGAATTTCATTTGTTTGAAAACTACTTGAAAGCTATTAAACTATTATAAAATTATCTTTTAAAATATGATATATTTTTTTATAATATTCATTTTGACAGACAATTGTTAAACAATAATTATTTGCATATCTAATCATTATGATATTTAGTATGTGTCTTGGATAATAAAACTTTTGTCAACAAAATCTGTACATGTGTAAAACATTCACAAGCGTCATGTAAAATACTTTAAATTTAGAAAACAGCAATTTAAACAACATAAAAATACGCGAATAATTAAAAATTAAAGTTTTTATAGAAATGTAATAAACAAGTGACAATAACAATTATTTAAGAAGTGCACAAATTATATTTTAAGTTCTTAAATATTTTAAAAAGTTTTATTTATCTGTGTTTACAATTTCTGATTTTATATATAAACTTAATCAACTATTTTTACAATAAATGTTATCTTAAGTAACAATAGTAAGATAACGCTATGTGGAGAAATTATCTTGTTATAGTTTTATAATAATTTTAATATAAATACATATAGTTTGTGTTTGAAATTTGTTCGCACAGCAAATCAAAATTATCAGCTACACTATAGGTTTGAACTAATTTAAATTGAGTACACTTTATAAGTCACTACCCGCTTTACATTTGGCTCTAATTACTTTGTATTAAATACTTCTTTTTCTTCGCTAAAAAACGTTAATTTGAAAATTTATTTTGTTTTAGTTTTATTTTCAAAACTCCTCTGTTGTTCCAACTTCGAATTTATATAACGTGGTACATGTTGTGTACGCATTACTGTCCATATTGAAACTACCCAGCTAAGAATAATTGTTGCATACAGTATAGGTGGAAAGGACTTTTCATTACCAACGGGGATTTTAGCTCTTAGCACATGTTTAATTTTATAATTAACTTTTATGAGTAACCAATTACAATTGTTAACATTTGTTGACAGATCTGTATTATTTCTTGCCGTCATAAAAGTTGTTTCGTTTT